GCCAGCACACCGACTCCTGCGACGTGCATTGTTTGCGCGTTGTGGGTGCGGTTGGAAGAGGAGGAGGGGAGGCCAAGTGATGACTTGGTCGAGAGAAATGAAAACCCTCACTTCGAAGTTGGCGTCGGTTGGTGCATCCCGACTGCCTGGCTGGGGTCCTAAGGACGGTGAACACGTTTGGTTGGACACACTTGCTGATATGGCTAGGAGCCGACCCCAATGGCGTTTGTGTTGTGAGTTCCTCTATCCATCCCCCTCCTGTTTAGCATCCCCTCCAATCACGATCTCAATCGTTAGGCATAATATGACTTTCTTTTACGGCAGAGAGCTGTTAGCTCTCCGGAACGATGTCCATCCGTTACTGGGGACACAGCGGGCGTGCCACTGTTAGTTTTGTTTTGTTTTTTCTTCTTTTCTTGCCTTTTGTATTGCGGCACAATAGCTGAGGTGTTTTACACCTCCAGCTAACGTGTACTGATGATGATGATGATGGAACTCACTCCCTATATTTGTTGAGGCCTGCGGAACAAGATGGGCACAAAAAGCATGGAAGCAACAGAGAGCAACAAATTTCTTCAGGAACTTGCGCTATCTGACCCGGAGACTTCCTAGCGAATGAGGATTTTGACCGATTCTCCCTATGCAACCGGAACATTCTAGTCAGTCCAAGCAGCGGCAGAAACTTGCTGACTAGCCGTGAGTAAGTGAGTGGCCGTGAGTAAGTTATCAAAGCCGGGGGATTTATGACGTCTCGAAATTCGGATCGCGCTTCGGATGTCTGTTTGCTCGGAGGATTTTTGCAAACACGTCAAGCACCATGCAAAGGAAATAGAGGGTCACGGGATAAGGGCTTAGTAGTTATCTGGACGACAAAATGCTCCGCCCAATGACACAGCCGTCTGAGTAGGTTGGTGATTTTCATGTCTTTCGAGTCACAGTGTTACTGAATTGAAGCGTGTGTATTGCCATCGGTGGTCTTGAGTATAAAACATTTACTCCACTCGATGTAGTGAGTCCCATCTCAGCAGCTAGCTTTGACCACAGGGGTTCATGACCCAAGTGAAGACTTGTCATCAGCTGTTAAGAGTACGACGAAGTTTTTTGTGTTACTCACAGCTGAGCAACACCTGTCTACAATCTATCAGTTCTGAGGATGCTACCGAGATTCAGCTTCTAGCTGCTCAGCTGGAGAAGCTGCACGATTCGGCGGACAGCATTGATGTTTGCAGATCTGACCAGTGTTAGTGGATATCCAGGGTAAAGGAGGGAGTGAGAACTTCACGAAGTCTCTATTGACAATCCATTCCACAGTTGGGTCTTCCAGCATGTAGGTATTCACCCGGGAGTGCTTGGTCTTAGGCGAGACACTGGAACGCATACAAACGGTCGAACAAACCACTGCCTGATCGATTTCAAAGCAAGTTGACCCTACTGATCGGCATTCGCGTACCCTGTTGCACCATCTGCGAATTACGGCTATGTGATCAAGTCGTGACCAGCGCTGAGCTGATGCTGTAAAACACCAGATAGTATAGTGAGGTCCAGGGTGACTGAAGCTACTGCTGATGAGAAAATGTCGGTGTTCAGCACAAAAACTGAACAGTCTCCCTTTATTGTCTGAGCGAATATCAGCCTATACGTGCGGTCCTCCAAGGTGACGTTCACATGGCAGCAACCGACCGGCACGAGTTAGTCTCTTGCCATACCAATAGTGTCGGTATTAGGCGGTTGCAGCAGCAGCAGCAGCAAATGAAGAATTTCGTTGAATCGGTAATTGACTGTATCCGAGCTGCAGTCATTTGGCTGGAAGGCCGAGAGTACAAAGTGAGCAAGCTTGTCGGCCCGAAGTCTGAGAACCTGGCAAGGGCCTCATAACGTAAATCTGTTCGTTGGCCGGAATCCTATCAAGAACGGTGGCTTCAGCTCAAGGATTTAAAGCGATCCCAACACCACCTTGCCCAGATGCGGCAGATGTAGAGCGGCAGAAATATGGAGGTGGAAACGAGTGTGTGGTACAATGGTGATGACAGCTGGTAGACTGTGTTGCAGTCAAGGAGTCGTGATTCTCCTAGGTAGCAGAGAGCAATTACTAGGGTGTCCAGCCTACATGCAAATCCAGATTGCTCTCCGATCTGCAGTTATGTGCGCAAGCTGAAATTTTCTAGTTTGAACTGCGTTCCAGTTTGTAGGCGATATGGAAATTTTCAGGATTGGCAGCTCCCTGACGAGTACAGGATTGTTGATATGACGGATGTTAAGGGGAACAAGCTCATCCGTAGAAGTAGGAATGTTCACCTTTGAAGAGTCACACAACACTTGGGGTGAATAATATAACGGAAGGTTAGGAGAATTGTTGACATGTGTTTGCTGTGTTTGGGTGATGAAATGATAGGGCTTTATAATGCGAGAGAGAGAGAGAGAAACAGCGAGTGTAATTGTGTTGTTTCATGGTGCTTCACTGGGCGAGATACTACCTCGTTGCCTGAGGCGAAGTAGGTAGGTTGTCTTAGGGGACCACCTCTCCAAGCATTTGGTCATAGGGCCTAACCCACAAGGCAGCAGGACGAGTTAAGTGCCTTAAACCCGTTCATCATCATCATTGTACACCTCAGCTAGAGTTGGGAAACACCTCAGCTACTGTGCCCCAATACACAAAGGGAAAGAAAAATAAATACAACAGTTGCATGGCTGCTGAGCTACCAGCAACGGGTAGTATCGTTCCGGTAAACTACCAGACGGTTACTAGGCAGAAAAGAAAAATTATTTTGTTTTGCGCTACGAAATGAGATTTTGGATGGAGAGGAGGCTAAAAAGGATGGGGAGGGACAAAGAAACTCACAACAGGAACGCCACAAAGGTGGGCTCCTTGACATTTCAGCAAGTGTATGCAACCATACGTGTTCACCGTATTTTGACCCCATCCAGGAAGCCGTGACGCTCTAACCGATGCCAGCTCCTAACTGAGAGCCTTCATTTCTCTCGACTAAGTCATCGCCCGACCACCCCTCCTCTTCTTCCATCCACATCCCCGGCGCACCAACAACGCACTTCGTGGAAGCTGGTGGGATGGCATGCGCAAGATGTTGCCCAGGCATCGGAGCCTGATGCGTGAAATGACGGTGCAGAGCAGTTGAGTTCTTTTTCTGTGCCGTAAGCAAGGCTTCGAACACGCTCGTACCTCACGCGGTGTGGCCACCAGATGTAAGCCAAACTGCGAAGGCACCGGTGGTCGAAATTAACTAGCCTCTACATGTTCGCTGATCTTAGGGGCCAGGGTTTGCAACCGTAAGTAACCCGCTGGGATCCGGTCATTGAAGTCTCAGTACAAACGCATTTCTGGTGCCAAAAGCCACATTAGGAAGCTAACCCTAATTAGTCAGAAGGCGAATCCTACTCTCGAATTGCTTGCCAGTGTACAATTCCTCCGAGAAAGACAAGGAGCAGTGAATTTATCTGGTGGCGAGACACATTCGCCCCGCCACTGTGTGTTCAAGCAGGCTTTTGGTATTATTTATCGGAAGGACGCTTGTCAAACGAGAACACGCCATGGCCTGAAAGTCTGTTACCCGAACAGGAAATTCTCCGAAAGCTTAGCTGGCACTGCGCAAATGCTCGTAACAAGCCAAACGCAATGAACCGCAACCGATGTTAACAAGGTTTCTAGCATCGTGTAAAAGAGAACTCAAAGCCAGGTGGTATTAACGTCAGCTGCGAACAGCTGGTTTAGGAGCCGCTGCCCCAGTTTCTAGTCACTCAATACCGAACTCTATCCTTGTCATTTTGAGTCGCAATCAATGGTGGCACGAACGCGTCGTCAAACGTCGGTCCACTCGAAACCGTAATGAAATGCAAACCTTTGATCGCCTTCATCAGAAGCAGTTCACTGTCTGGTAGAGACCCCCGCATCTCTCGGTCAATTCAATCGGATTCAGTCGGATTCGTTACTTCACAATGACCTCCACAACATCGGCTTCGCTTCACAACAACAATTGCCCACTCCTGGGGGCACACACCCTCCGCTAATGAATGCAGTCCAGAAACACACGCACTGCATTGAAGGATGTATAAAAACACGTTAAGCAGTGGTGAATTCAAGCTACCAGTTACTCAGCGCCGAAGTAGGAACAAACCAGACAGTACGTTTCAACAAATACTAGACAATTATCATCGTTTCACCAGACCACATTTTCGCTAACTAACAAAAGCCTACATTCTGTCATTTTGATCCTAATGCTAAAACTCACTATGTTCCATTTATGACACTCGTAAATAGAAAGGCATTGCTTTATACAGATTAAGCAAAACTAGCGCACATTAGTTGGACTCATCTGCACATCAGTCATTCTCTAAACCCAGCTTTTGTTATGCATCCTCCGTACACAAAACACACCTTCCAATTCTCTTGTTCCTGCCCTGTTCTCTTCTACAATCAATCTGATTGTCATCTTGGATGCATTATAGCCATGTGGACGCCATCCGTATTCCTCCTCACTGTACTCTGCGTATTGCTCGCAGAGGCGCATCACGTACCACAGCAGGCTGTGCATAAAGCACACAAGGGTGGTGTCATCGTGGACGTTGCGTCGGACGTACATGTAGAAGCGCCGTCATGCTGCTGCTCTGGTTGCTGTGCGTGTGGGAAACCCGAGAAGACCACGACCACAACCACAACCACCACTCCAGCTCCTACCACAACCACAACCACCACCACCACCACCACAACAACAACCACAACCACACCAGCCCCAACCACCACGACCACGACCACCACCACAACAACCACACCGGCACCAACTACCACTACCACCACAACAACCCTCACAACTACCACCACCAGACGTACAACCACCCGTCGAACCACCAGCCCCGCTATGTTCATTGACGAGCCGGAGGAGTGCAGAAAGGCACTCACCGTAGTCAGCCAGATCCGAATTTATGTAAGTTTGCATGCGCCCCACATCACCTCACCACTCTCACTCACATCAATTTCTTCCTTGTAGCTCGAGATTGCAATCAATTCGCAGACAGAATATCGGTTCCTCAACGAGAAAGATTTGCAAATCTTGTCTGTCGTCAGGGACTTCTCTGTTAACAAGATGTTGACTTACAAGATCATTGTGAGTTATGTCATCCAAGTCCACCTAACATCATCGCCCCAATTTAGACACTAATAGCACCGGGTGTTTGCGAAGAAGTGGAAATCTGCAATGGCAAACTGGTATGCGATACGGAATATTGCATTGTGAGAAAACCGGAGCGAGTCACGTGTCCGGAACTTCTGCCATCGTGCCCATTAGTGCGCTAGAGTGCCGCACACAAACCAACGCGTCGTTCGGACATTCGGCGAATATAGGTGTTGTCCTCGTACACACTTTGCTTACATTCCACAATAAAAACTGCTTGTATTCAAGTTACCTTTGTTCTTCTCTTCCTTCTGCCTTAATTCCTGCTCACCGTCGGATGGATTAGGTTGCAATACTGAATTGGTTTCTTCCATCACTGATATCATCGTTGGTATGGTCGGTTAGTCGGTGGGGTTCACAATTGTCGTCTGTAAGATTGCCTCGTTATTCTGACGAAATAGAGCCTTCAGGTCCACTCATTGTTGTGTCACAGCCTAAGGATAGCTTCCTGCCTGATGCACTCACGTTTCCAATGCCATATTCGTAAACTGGCATTAGTATCGGTATACTTCGGTATATGATTTAATTCTGTTCTCTAACCATGTGTAAGTGCATTTGAGTAGCTAGGTTTAGGTTTGTATTCCACGGTTCTCGGGATGCCTAGCTGTGAAAGAGTGCAGAATTATATTTGCTGGTGACCAATAGTGCAACACAAATAATGTGGTAGGTGAAGAGTGCAGTTCCAATAAAATGAGGCGTTCAAGAACAATGAACGATGTGCATAACAATCCCGCAGGATAGATACAGTGAAAATATAAATTGAAAAGATCAACGAAAATGGAAATCTTCATTTCAAGCATTGGTCGATTTAAAGTAGATGCCGCATTACGATCCTTTGAAATGAGAATAGGATTTTCGCACAACATAATAGAAAGAGCAATCATAGTTAAGTAACTCCGTGAAAAATAAAAAAGCAAATGAGAGCGCCCACTCCTGTGTTGCTTCATTTGACCCATAGTCTAGGTTAATTCGATTTTGATACATCATCCTACTCACAAGGACACTTATGCATATATCCTCACCGCCATGTTGCGGTAAGCACCGTTAAGCACATAGTTTGCTTTGCTTCATTTCGTCCTCCGAATGAAATGTACTACATCAAGTTATACAGCGTGTCATATTTACACTTTTTGAATGCCTTAATGTAGGGTCAGATATGTGGAGAGTCAGAATGGCGTTCCAGGTGCGGAACACACGGATGGATGAAACCTACCGTCAACAATCAAGTCGACCGTATTGCGTAGCCAGTTTGAGCGGATTGCATCTTAGGTTGGTAGTATGGCTCAGCTGCAACAGATCTCGACAATGTTGCATTGGGTTCATCAGTTTGAAGTGGACAATGATGAAATCTCTTACTGACGTCGATATTCTCTAACATACAATTTCATGGACTGCATTCTGCGGTGGTAGGGGAGAGGAAACATTCCTCTAACTAGTTTGGTTACTCTAGGTTATAGGGTGTCAAGTGCATTGACTTCGCGTTTGCGTCAGGAACGCCAGGTCTAGATCGTAAATATAACCTGGGGTATTGCATAGGTATTCAGCATTTGCGGAATGTTTGATTGCTGGAAATTTCAGAAGGCTCCCTGTAAGAATACAACGTGTTCCCTTGCGCTTTTCGATGCCTTTACTGTTTGTTTCGCGCAGCCAGATTGTCTTGTACGTTCACTCCGAGGTCGCTTTCTTAGTAATCACATAGCAACCACTGATTTACAATTCGAGAGTCATGGGTTGGCTGATGGTCCGTACTCAGGACTTTACACTTCGCCACGTTTAACTGGAGCAGTTTATCGGATGATCGCGTATATACCCTGTGGATATTGCTCTGCAATCCCGTGTGATCATCTGCTGCCTTGATGTCATGCTTCTTTTTGACAATACCTGCAAACAGTAATCACTTCTACCGCAGTACGCTGGCAATATCGTTAATGAATCCTAGGAAAATGCGTATGCCCATTAAGGATCCTCTGGCACGCGATACTTGACGTCAGTTCGGTCGGTAATGGAACTGCGAAGTCTGACTTTCAGCTAAGGTTGAATGAGGTAGTTTCCAGTCTAACCGAGCACAAGGTCACCGATTTCATATCTTCGAAGCATGTGAAGGAGAGTTCGATTTTCCAAACGAGCAAACTTTTGGAGAAGTTTAGGTAGATGACTTTGACCTTCAGTCTGGTGTTTTATAACGAAGGCGGTCGTTCAAGGTACCCGTGGCGCTCTGATCCCGAAGGCTGTTGCCAGGTTTCAGGAAAATCCGTCGTGCATTCAAGAAAATAGCGGCAAATGCGGAAGCGACAGGCACCGATGTGGTGTATTCCATCGACCTCGAGTATATGGTGCTGCAACGCATGCAGTGGCGAATGCCTGGGTCAAGTAGGTCTAGTGAGCTACGAACCAGCACACTGGGGACCAATATCGAAACGCCGACGGGTGCCGTTGAGAATGAAGCAGTACTGACGAAGCGTTGATAGGTACGCTGAATGCGCTTGCATTTGTATTTACCAACCGCTTGACAAGTGCCGAATTTCTCTATTTCAGGTGGCTAGTTTGCTATATTTGCTTAGTGGTTATTTTGTTACCTCATTGTAATGTCTGTTACACCCAAGCGAAATCAGAACAGTGGTATGGTAGTAGGAAAACTTTAGTAACAAACGGAAAGCGCTACACTGTACTCAGCACATGTGGGCACGTAAAGTCTGCCTGCTACGGGAGTCACATGAACGCGAGAACCAGTTCCATTTCGAAGCGAATCAATGGCAGACACTGCTTGGTATGCATCCAAACACGTACGCACACATATACACGCGCTCCTACGCCGCAGCCTTTCCAGCTGAATAGCCGTGGATGGGTATGGCACGACCAATTACTGTACCAACCCTTCACTTTTGGCTCACGCTAACCTATCTGAAAGTGCTCGACCGGTCCTCATTGACAATTAGAATTACGTAACAGAGGTTCAGTTACTGAATTTGCGCCAGTCATCTGCATATCAGTTGGGGATTGGAATGGCAGATCTGGTTCGCAGCTTATGTCTCGGTTTGGCAGTCTTGGCCGCATATGTTCCAAATGGCGCCACAAGAACAAGCAATCCTCAGTTTCTGCTTCTACCATCTGTCCGTAGAAGGTTTTTACAATGGCCGGCTCCCACCCAGAGTCTGTAGGTAAACGGAAGTAAACTGCGTCTGACTGCCGCAATTCTGTCCCTGCTGCAAACATCAGAAGGTTCCTTCAACTGTTATTCCATTTCAGTAACTTGTGACTCTTGTCAAGAGGAAGGCGTTTCTTTAAGAATTTCATGCAGCTATTTCCTTTCAGAAATTTTAAGACGGCATGAACGAACAGCATTTTTACGGGATACACATATAGGGGTTCCACTGCGTCCTATTCTTTCAATGGTTGCGGCGCCGCACCAGAAACTGGCACGCTCGTTGTCAAAGTGACTCGAGTGATTCGAGTGACTCGAGTAAGCGGTGCACAGTCTAAAAGACACTTTTGAGTTTGTTGACAAAGTTCGACACTTGAATGTTCAAGATAAGCACATGATATCATTTGATGTCTGTTCCCTTTACACGAACGTTCCTCCCGATGAGACATTGAACATCATAAGTAAGCATGCGGACAAACTTGGGCTGCCTGCACATCGGGTGAAGACGTTACTCAGCATTTGTATGAAAGACGTCCAATTTTGCTTTGATGGGGATATGTATCGTCAGATTGAAGGCGTTGCGATGGGTAGCTCTCTCGGACCGATTCTAGCTGACATCTTTATGGGCTAATTTGAGAGTAACTTATTACGCGATGTCATTGGAGCAAGACACTTTTACACGAGGTATATCGAGGACACCGTCCAGCAAGCGAATATCCTTTTAAAAACGTTAAACAAATGCCATCCGAACATCTAGTGCACTATGGAAAGTGAAGCGGAGGATTCATTTCATTTTCTTGACGATTCACTTGAAGGCAGGGCAGATGGTTCCCTGATAAGCTCGATTTACCGGAAACCGAGCTGCACCGGACAATACATACATTTCAACAGTTACTGTCCAATGAACTATAAACAATCCCTAGCTCGAACTTGTTTTGTTAGAACACACCGAATATGCTCTGAAGAGTCAATCGAGGCTGCATTACGATACATCGAATGTAACCTAAGCAATAACGGCGATCCGAATAAATACA